TTTTAGGCCAGCGATGACCTTAATTGATCTCTTACTTACATGAGCTGTGTATCACCAACGACTTCGACAAACCTGTTTTATTTCCGCAGCCCAAAAAGCTTTTAAGTGTCTCCTTGTCTAAAAGCTCCTATCAGGTAAAGTTTGACAGCTTGAAAGGGTTGCAGTGTGTGTTTTGCATATTTAATGACCCAGGCAAATGGGGCCTGTTTTGATTTGCTATTGGCAGGAAGCTGAGTCGGCGCATAATATCTGACAGAAATTGGCTCTGCGGCGGAGGGGAATGCGTCTAATGAATGAGCTCGGTGCAGTTTGGCGCCGATGAGCTCACCGAATGGGAGTCTCCACTCGCATCACGTGGTTTCCTTTATCAGTTCAAGGCAAACTGGTATTGGTATTGTTATACGCAGCCCCAGTGGCCAGTGCCACGCACTCCGGGTTGTGTACAAAACAGAACAGCTGCGTCGGTTTAACGTGCGTCAGAGGTCCAGAGGCGAGTTTGCAATCCTGTGTTACTTTTATTACATGTCTGCAACACCGCTATCGTCATCACCTGTCTCTATCAAACTTCTTTCATACACGGGGGGATCTGATGTTGATACTAACTTGTTCGCCTGTGCAAGCGAGTTGAGTACCTCAAGATCATTTACAGTGGATCTTATTTAAGGAAAGCGCTTAACAGTTGCTTCCCTTGGGTTTCCTTTTCGATATCGAGCCTCACCTCAGACGTGGAATGCATTTAGAAGATGGAAGGCTTTCATGTTGTAGAGGTTAATACAGTGTGTGTGTGTGTGTGTGTGTGTGTGTGTGTGTGTGTGTGTGTGTGTGTGTGTGTGAGTGAGAGAGTGTGAGAGAGAGAATCTGCAGCTCGTCCTTTTGCTTGTGTATGAAAACAAGTTGTCGCCTCGCACCACTTCCCCCGCGGCGTCAGCCAGGAGTCACCAAGGAAACGGCACGACCGGCCTCACCCAGCTGTTGTGTTTTCATCAGCTGATGAAGATGACAAAACATGCTCGTGCTGTTTCTGAAACACAATGGAGAGCGGTTTCGCTCTCAAACCGCCTCCACCAATGACGCCAGAAATAACTGACCGTTGCTGCTTTGCCGTATGAAGCTAAATAATTAGTAGATATGAGTCATTGAGTGCTCGTGCAAATTAATTGCGTTTTAGGCCAAAGGGCAGCGCCAAGCCTTCATTTAGAATCGTCTTCTCATTCAGAATTTATCATTAGCACTTAAACTGATCATAAAATCAACTCAAAAGACGACGTGTATCGTATTTCCTTGATTGTAATTAACCGATGCTGCGTCTCGACTTCCTTCCGATCCGCGCTTGCTATTTTAGAGTGCGTAGGGATATTTTAGATTTTAAAGCGAGCATTCAAGCAAAGGGACGATCATTTTCAATGTTAGTGGCGGAGCTCCGTGATGTTGCTGTTCACCGTTAATTCAAAGAAGAAACGGTCGTAGATCATGTTTTCCTGTAAGTGCACAACAGCGGTATTAGATGTGGGACTGAACCACCCGGATGGAAATGTTGCACTTACAGCGTACACAATGTACTACGCGGAAGCCTCCTCTAGGAAGAGACGCTGCGTATTCTGATTTTATTGAAATGTCACACATTATATAATATTGTTCGGGCAACAAATCGAAAACTAAGCAATCCAGAAGCAATTTCCAGAAGCATAAAACTATACGGCAGACAGCTGAGAGTCAGCAGATGCATTCTGTCCATCTTCAGCTTAAAGAAGGCAGCGTTTACATTTCATGCTATTAAATTTGAGGCTGCATGTAAACTTTAATTTTGTCCCTCGTCCTCCTCGCGCTCGCTGCTAAGTCTCATATAATTTTGTCCCCGGGGCCCCCTTTTCCTTGGCCCATCCTTTTTTCCCGCCCTTTTAATGGTTTTTTTGGTGGCCGGCCCCCCCCCCCCCCCCCCCCCCCCGCCGCCGGGCCTCCATAAACATAGCTGCCTCATAATGTAAACACCGCAGATAGCAAAGACAGCAAAGAGGAGTGATGGAGAGGGAAGGAGGAGCAATCGGGTTTTATTCCAATTAAAGCCCTCAATACGATATCTTAGGTGCTCTTTGCGTTTTCTTTTAACTGCTTTGTTCAGAATAAATATTCAGGATTTCTCCGTGTGGCGTCTGGTGCTCGACGCAAAGGGGGTCTTGTTAGGGATCTGTGATGGTGGTGAATGAAAAGACCTCGTTTTGACAGAATTGATGGATTAATTTGGCTTGTTAACACACACACACACACACACACACACACACAAAAACACACTGAACTAATGTAGTTAATGGATGGATAAGAACATCCTCCCTCCACCATTCCCCAACACACACACACACACACTCGGTATCATCTTTCACATCCTGCAGAGGTCATAAAACATGGTTCCCCCCCCCCACACCCTCTCTCCTCGTCTTTCAAGCTCTCCTTGTGCGCACACACACGCACATCACTCTATTGTGGGTCTGTGGGTCCACATTTCATGTACCCAATTACTTAGGCCTCTGGCTGCCGCATTACGTCAGGCTTGGCAGGCTGTATTTTTAGCTCGGAGGAGCCGTTGGCCCCTCCCTCTCCGTGGATTGAGTTACCAGCTTGTTGCTGAAAGAACCCAATGGGCGCCACGCAAGCTGCCCTCGTCCAATCACAGCACATCGAACCACCGCGCAATGACACAAGCGAGCACGGGGGGGAGGGGGGGCGGATATGACCATTAAGGACGGTGCACGTTGAGGGAAACGTGGACCAGCTGAGGCGGCCACTCAGGCCTTTCCACGGACTGAGGACGTTCCTGTAGGACGGGGCCTGTGGTGAGGACCGGAGGGCCCAGACGTTAATACTGGCCGTCCCGCATCGCTTCCAGACACCAGAAATTACAAGGTTGTCAGAGGGGGGGAAAACTGTGAGCAGAGTTATGAAAATACAGATCTATTTTCTATTTCCCTCTCCTTACTCCCTCTCATTATTTCAGGCTTTAATAGTCGCAGTGTACCTAAGGGAGCAGTTTGTTAGCGATGAAGTTGTTCTGTGCAGCTGACGCATCAGAATAGAGCGATGACAGCCAGAACCCCCTCTCCCCTCCCTCCCTCCTTCCCTCCCCCAAGCTGCTGAAGTAACTCACACAGGGTCTCCGAAAGAAAGCTTGGAATGTTTTCTCATAGGTGCCAAGTGTTTGTCCACGCAGTAAAAGGTAGAGCACCCGACAGCTTGACAAACAAAGTCCTCCCCAAATCAATCCACACGGGCCCCCGGGGGGGCTTCACAATGATGTCTGCGTGGAGATGCTGGGTGGCCGCTCTTCTTTCAAAATGTTCTTCCCCATTTTTAATCTACAATTTTATTCCTCATCCCAGTTTGCTGGGTGATGATGAAAACCGCAGCACAAAAAGAGGGCCACTCAAGGTTTTGGTTACCATGACAGCAGGCTGTTTAGAAGATGTCAACAAAGGCCAACATTCAACTTCCCCTTGACGTTGTCACTGTATTCCTCTCCCGATGAGTGTTAGTCGGTCAGCGTCTGACTGTGATGGAAATAATCCAAGCTGTCGTGTCTCCTAACTGCTGCTTGCTCGCTATTATCCAGAGTAATTTATTCCATTCATAGCTGTGTCCTTCCCCCTGTTATACGTTGATGTAATGTATTGATGCCACATTTAGATAATGTGCTTCCAGCCTAGAATATAAAGTAGATGTGTTTCTTAATGAGGCGCTTGCCTGTCTTTTTTTCCCCACCATGTTCACCGTTCATTTCCACTATATACAATGATTTGTGGGCCTAAAGGATGTATGCTTTGTTAATTCTTTATCCCCCAGAAATGTATATACTGCTCCAACAATGAATTAACAACGTTTTTCAATGGAAATATGGTTAACACGTTGCTGTTCATGATCAAATCAAATCAATGACATTTTGTTCCTTTCTGGGTATACGCCTTTTTAAACTCTTGCTAGCAGTGCAGTATGCCTGTTGAATCAGTTCACATCTATGAGCAAACCTGCCTCTGAAAGGAGGGAGTGAGACGGAGGACAAGCTGGAGAAGCAATGAAGGAGTATGTGGGTGGAGGAAATGAGACACCGCCTTGGGAAGTGCCTTCCTGGATTATTGCTGAAGTAATGACATCACTGAATGAACTCTGGTAGTGGTGTAGTGGGGGTGGGGGGAGTCTGAAAGAATAATAGGCCTAAAACTAAAGGTGTATTCACTCGACAATCGTAGACTGCTTATTCTGACGTGCATGTTATGTAGTTTATTTAGAAAGTGAATACCAGCCTTTGGCCTTACAATAGTGATGCAGCCTTTTCCAATTTTACTTTTTCTTACTTTTTTGGTGATTGGCAGCTCAAACCAGTAGTTTGGCGCTTCTCGTGTAGAAACCGGAGCGAGGTGAGTCGCAGAAACGGCTGCTTTGAGTCCCCCCCCCCCCTTACAGATCCCTGCAGTGTTCACCTTCCCCTTGAAGTCAGACACACACACACACACACACACACACCATGAGACCACAGGTCGGTACCCATTGTTTCTGAGACCCTGCAGAGAGCGAGCCTGGGAGCTATGTGTGGTTTTGGGTGGCTTGTGTCTCCTGTGCGGTGGGGGGGGGGGGGGGAGATCCCAGTGTGACTTTGACAAGAGGAGTAGGACCCGATATCCCGCGGTGTCACACAAACGGCCACGTCTTCACACAGTCTGTTGTCTCCTCCCTCTCGCTTTTCCGCCCCCACCCCTCTTCCTATCTCCCTTTCATCCCAAATGTGACCCTCTGCCCCGGAGGGACACATTTTGAGCTCAGGTCAGTACGGTGTGATGGTTGAAGACTGATTTGATTTACACTTTCCACCTCGCGCTCGATAGATGAAACCGTCCCAACCAAGATGGCGGTGCACTTCAGCAAAGGGTGCTCGTGGCTTCGCTCTTTTCGCTCTGTTTTCACGTGTACCTCAGCAGTTCTCACGAGACTCACCCACGTTTCTTTGCCCTCCGCAGACGTGAAGAAGGACTGGTCCGACCACGCGCTGTGGTGGGAGAAGAAGAAGACGTGGCTGTTGAAGACCCACTGGACGTTGGACAAGTACGGCATCCAAGCCGACGCCAGGCTGCTTTTCACGCCGCAGCACAAGCTGCTGCGCCTGCAGCTGCCCAACATGAAGCACATGAAGGTCAAGGTCAACTTCTCGGACCGCGTCTTCAAGGCCGTCTCCGACATCTGCAAGACCTTCAGTAAGTGGAGCGGCTGACTCGTGTAGAAGGCAGCTGGCGGAGAAACGTCGGTAACGCCAGGCCGACATGTGGAAAAGGGTCATCAAGCAGATGCGAGACGAGGTGCGGCGGGTCGGCACGGGGTTATGGGAGCGGGGGGAATAGGACAGTGGGGAATTTTCCTCGGGAGGCCCCACAGAAGCTGCCCACGCCGGCAACGTCTCCCTGTAAGACTACTTTTGAAAAAGGCTCAAGGGCTCTACATCAAACATAGTCAATCATGTCCTTCCCTCCTTTTGTTTTGGTCCCTTGCAATTTGTTGTGTTTATTAAACACGTTCTGAGCTCTGCGAGCTGGAGCCACGTCTCCGCTCACCGGCAGTCCACTGTACTCTGTGGAGTCACGTCCTTGGAACCTGGGCTCCATCGGTCTCACAGCAGTGTTTAGTAAACAGAGATTATCACTCCGCCTCAGGCTTATAACACAGGCGCACATTGCTCGACGTCTTGCTTACCTGCTGTCTCTTCCACTCATATCAACTCCAAATTTAACCACCCCCCCCCCTCCCGCGCCCTCCTAGCCCTGTGGTGTATGCCGTTACCCAAGGGCCACACGCACTCCATCGGTATCTGCCATCACTGGCACCACCATGTCGTGTCATAGGTCACACACTGGGCCCCAGTGACCTTTTCCTCAGCTCGCTCCCCGCTCTCTACGCCTCCTTTAAGGCCTGGTGAGCACGCGCGGAAATGCAAACCGCCCTCCCGAAACCTATTGTATGCTTAGGGATTTTATTGTGAAAGGTAAGAATGTCAAGGTCGTCTTGGTTCAGACTGTTTGGGACTGTTTCATTTTAATAGGATGTTGCTATTTTGATTAATTTTGATTAAACAGCCTTTTGTAAAATATAAATTTACATACAAAATCGCACAAAACACGCAAAAGGCTTCTATTGGCCTCTACAGGTAGCACTCCACCTTGCTTTTTTTAATTCGGCAGGAATGAAGCTTTGATTTCTTGGGGGTCAAACAAAGTTTCTTTTAGTGTAAATATACAAAAAGACTGTTTTTGAAAGCAGAAGCTGCGAGGCGGGGGAGAAGCAGGCCTGTAGCCTTTCAGGCCCAGTAAGGAATGTGTCTGCTGCTTCTGTAAATCTATTTCAGCTTCCAAGAAATTCAGGACGAATTGCTTTTGGCTGACATGGCGCGTGCCAGGATGTCACAAGATGTTGTCAGTGGCTGTTGTGTTGCATGAATGCGTGCGAGAAGCAGAACCTGCACTGGGGGACGCTGGGGAGGTTCTTCTCCAGCTGGGTGTGGCAGCAGACCCGGCTGACCCTCAGCTGCACGGGCCTGGAAGCCATTTTTTGGTTATCTGGGCAACTTTGAGTTTCATAATTTCCTGAGAAATATATGTGAACGGAACAGTGTAGAGAATCGGACGGGACAGGAAGAGACGAGCCCCGTCCAAACTGCCCTTCCCTCCAGACAGCCGGGAGGGAGGGACGGATATACTGGACGACAGAAACAAGGAAAAGTAGTTGGATTGTTTGTTTTTCACATACTGATTTACTGAAATTCCCCAAAAAGATTTGCTGCAGTGTGTACATTCAGTTGGTCACACATGAGCCTGGTCATGTCCTGTTTTCATTCCCACCCTCTCCTTGGTTTTAGTTTTTGTTATTTTACTTGATTCTGACGTTGTGCTGACAGCATTCTGTCTGTTACTTCTTAATACCAACAGTCAGCTTTTTAGCACAGCTCAAACTCAAGCATAGAAAACCAACCTACCCCTCCAAGATAAAAGTATGAAACCAATTATCAGCGCTGTACTTCTCCCATGTCCATGGCAGCTGTGTCCCGACACGGACGCAGCCAATCTGGGCAGGCTGGGAACCCAGAGGACCACATGCACCGACACACGTGGAGATCACTCCGGTTCACTCCTGTTTGGCCCTCTGATTACATTTGGCTGCTCTTACATCCTGTGCGGCGCTGCTCATTCGATAGCGAAGAAAAGGCCTTTGGGGATTTTCCATTCTGAAACGGTGTAAATATGCTGTTGTAAGTGTAGTGAAGACTCACAGTGACGACATGAGCTTGTCACTTCCAACACACTGATACACCTCCGCCCCCTAACAAGACCCTGTTACGTTCCCCCTGCGATACACAAAATGTACTCTTCACTATTGACTCGCACACAACAACAATTAGCGGACCGAGACCGAAATTAGGCCGCTTCCCTCAGCGAGTCCTGCTGCGCCACTTCAGCTGCGTGGGTTTTTTTTCTTAGCTAGCGCTCGTTTGTATACCTGGAATATAACTATGCGGTAACTTTTTCCCATTAGTTCACACGAAAACTTGTCTAACTAGACGTTGATGAGGAAGGAAACGGGTAAATGGGTTGCGTGTCACTACAGTGAGACAAGAAGAACACCACAGGAGGAGTTTATTATTTACCGTTAAGATTGTGTGTGTGTGTGTGTGTGTTGGGGGGGAGGGGGGCTGTGGTCTGCTGGACTGGCCCGAGTGAGCCGACCTCTGTTGTCATAACACAGAAGGAGTGAAGTTTCTCCTCGGCTCCAACCCCTCAATTAAAGGGCAATCACACCCTTTTTGAGGGGCCTTTTGGATTATATCTAGTATCTCAGACACCAAGCAGGTCTATTTATGTCTTCTTATTTTCTTCTTATATTTTGAGCCTGTGAGATATTTCGGAGTCTTAGAAGTTCTCCCTAAATGCCAAAAACCTGACATCACTGTACTTGCCATCAGCTAAATTATTAACAGCTATGAAATATATCTCCACCTTTTTAGATTGTTGTTGTTGTTGTTATCATTAGCTTCGTCCCGCCGGACTGCGGCTGTATGAGAAACAAATGCTTTTCATAGCCCTTTTGAGTATTGATCAGTCCGCCTTATGGCCCAATGAGTGCCTCTTCATAACATGAAGGAGTATGCAGATGGAGAAACAGAAAGTGAAATCACTTCATTTTTTTTTTTTTTTGTCCATGTAGGGTCTCAAACTTGTTGTACGGTGAACGTCGGTGCTGTAAAATTAGACGGCGTGACGGTGTTTGTGATTCTTCCGCGGTTGGCCTTACTCACTGCAGTGAATCATGTGTTCCGAGGAGTCGGCCTCGCTGGCTCTCAGTCAACCCCTCCTGCTCGGGCTCCCCGGTCTTGGTTACTGCCGCGTGTCAGCGGGATGGATGATGTGGGTCTCATCGACTTGAGGTGTCGTTTCTGCTAATGGAAACCCACCGAGCTTCTGTGAGCGCTCTTAACCGGCGCCCCGGCCTTCCTCCGGCCGCAAGTGTGCGGTGAGCCGAGTAGCGGTCTTTCCCTCCAAGTCCTTATTCTTAAACGATCACCATAAACATACAATTCAACACTTAAATGAGAATGTCAGCGGAAATTGAAGATTTTTGCTTGTTTTTCCCCTCTTCCATGGGAGTCTTCACTGTGTTGGCTATATCTCTTCATGGGAATGATGAGAAACGCATATCCTCACTTTTTAGCTCATTCTTCCCAAGTCGCCCTTTCATCCACTTCTCTTGTCTCCAGGCGATTCAGCAGAGACACCCAATCGCTTCTACAGGAACGTTTTGACTCATGGTTTGCTTTTGTGGCCAAAGTACTCACTCTCTAGCCACACATTTGATCTATAAAGCATTATCAAATGTCACGAACCGACGGTTCCATAGAAAACGGATAGATGATCGTGGCTCATGTGTGACGTCTCATCGCGTATCAGATTCTTCGTTGTAGATATTCAGGCCCGGTGACAAGAATGAACATTTAAAAGGGACTTTGTAGTAAAATGTCACACGCCTCTGCAATATCTCACAGAGAGACACTGTCCAGGCCCACGTACGCACAGTTTGACACCATGTGTGTATTGCCCGCCTTGCACGGCTCGGGGGGGGCTGAAGCTCGGCGGCACGCCTGCACCTCGCATGGCTGTATAAGGGCACAGGGATTGCGCTTCATCGCTGCGGCAGAGCGAGAATAAAAGAGGAGGAGAGCGGGCCTGAGCTCCCATCTGGTAGTTCTTAAAACTCCTGGAATGCTTTTGCTTTAGTTACACAAACCAAACAAGCTTTTCTCACTAAGCCCAGCCGTTTTCTCTCTCTGTCTCTCTCTCCCTTTGCGCACGCCAACGCCATCAGCAGCGTCTTCAATTGGCCGGCAACACCTTTCCAATCCATCATGGATATGAGAAAATAAGGGAATGAAAAAAAAAAAATGCTGCAGTCCTGCACAAAATAAGACTCGAGTATCAGCTTGTGTGATTGATTCGTGCGGGGAAACCACATCCAGCTGAGGATCCAGACGTGCTTGCATCCAGACGAGCGCCATCAATTATATTCCTGACACGCTCAAACATCAGAACCGTCTCGAGCCCATTTTAAATCACCATTACTGCTAGCGAGGGATGGCTCCGTGGCCTCCGAGTCCGAGGGAGGGAAAAGAGAGGGCAGAGAAGCTGCTCTGTTTTAGTCGTCGTATCCAGTTTGATGTGTTGCTGTCGGATTGGGGCCTTCAACACGGGTCACATACTAAGAGAAGCCTTCTCAAAAACACCAAAAAATCATCCTTGAAGATGCAGAGATTCCATAAATGAATCTTCTACTCGCCAAAAGCAATTGAATGTTAGTTTTTTTTGTTGTTGGCAAAATCAGGGGAAGGAGGAGGGTAAGAAGGAGATAGTGGTCGTGTCTGCTCTGCCTCAGTTGGGGATTACAGTTAAAGCAAGATTTGTCAGGGCCCTGAGAAAAGGGATTTGCAATTTTCCACAGCTGTCTACATTCCGAACACATCTCCTCAGCCCCGTTGCTTTCTCCTTCTTCTCCCCCCTTTTTTAAATGTTTTTTTTTTTTTTTTTACCCCAAACCTTTTTCCATTTAAGTTTCTTCAATGTCTCTGTTTGCATCTCCATTACAGGCTCATGCACATTGTTCGTGTGCCCTGCAAGAGTCCATGTGTTTTATTAGCCTGTACAAACACAAATCACTGTATGCTTTTAGTGATTTATCGTGGTCTGCTTTGGCTTGATGTTGTCGAGAGGCAAGATTATGTTGATTTGAACATGAAGACAATGTCAAACTCTCTCTCACTCCGCTTCCCCTCCAGATATCCGCCACCCAGAGGAGCTGTCTCTGCTGCGTAAGCCCCGTGATCCCAAGAAGAAGAAGAAAAAGTTGGAGGAGGCGGAGGAGGACGATCTGGAGCTGCAGGGTCCGCTGTTGACCCCTGGATCAGGTGAGCGGATGGATAGTTACTCCTAAATGGAATGCACTCGCTGCAGTGTTTGCTCCAAAATATTACAACTGAATGCAAAAGGGTTAGTAGAAAGGGATGATCAATAGAAAGAGGTACGCTTGGCACATTACATGCGTAATTGATGAGTTGAAAGAGATTTGGCTCAAAACAGTCTGAAGTCTGATTGAAATGTTTAGGTTTAAGGTCGCGTTATTGAGCATCTGGGTTTTATTTTTGTACTTCATTGTGAAAAGTGATGATCTTGTTTCGAATAACAGGTTCCCATGGCTGCTACAGAGCTACTCAGACTTATTTTAGCGTTAGATTGCTCTTGTGGTTCGAAAAACCACCGAGATAACTCCAGGGTGCTGCATCCCGCCGCCAGTGACCAAATATGAATGTGCGAGTTTCAGGCCTGCGTGATGTCTACAGACACGGCTCTCGATTCCTTGGCAGGGAGGAGGGAGAATGGTTGAGATTCCACACATAGTTGGTCACGCTGCCATTTTAAACCCAAACCAGGCTGCACAGCTATCCTGGGCCTCCTGCCCTCCTCCCCTCCTCGCGCCAGTGAGAGTTAAAACCATGTGAGCCGAGGGGAGCAGAACAAAACAGTCTGTGCTGCTGTCACAGACTTGGCATTAATCAAAACCGCTAACACTATGAGGGAGGCTGAATGGGACTCTTTGTGCGGGTCCAGTTTCCTCGCTGCAGGCCTCTGGTCTGTCCGCTGGCTCCTTAGGCTTGGCTCACCATGCAGAGATGCACTCTGGCGCGAGTCCCAAGATGCTGCGATTGCTGTGAGCTCGGGGAACCGTCACAGCGCTTCAGTCAAGAAAAACAAAGGATACAGATTTTGCTTCACTGTGAAGCTAGCAGCAGATCATCTATTTTTTTACTTTAAGTGAGTTAGAAAACACCAGTTATTATTTATTTTTTTATAGACTCCACAAGCTGGGGTCACCTAAAGGTGCATCATTACATCACATGGGCAGCTACGTCGATGCTTCTGGCAGTTTTTTACACGCCATTAAGTGGTGCAGGGAAACAGGAATGTGCAGACTCTGTTTAATGTCAGTCACATTTCCTGCGTCCTTCATATCGGACGAATGTTTCATGTAAAAGATGTAAGGCGTTATTGGGTCCCTTGTGGGGAAGGGCTGGTCTCCGAACTCATGATCTCCTGATAGGAATCACAAGGCTTTGCAGAGAGGCGATGCAATCACCTGCATGTGCAGCTAACAGCTTCTGCTCACTGAATCCCCTCTGGGTGGGAAGAGAGAAGGGTTCCATGGTCTTTACTGTGTAGTTTTCTTTTTTTCATAATTTCTCCAATTTTATTTGATATTATAATGTTTATGTTTATAATTATAAAGATTTCAAGTAAGAAATGGCCTGAATTCCCCACTTTTCTGACTTTCCATGGACCACGGTGTTAGTTGACAAAAGAATTGTTAACTTAACCAATAATGAAAATAATTGTCTGCAGCACTATACTAGGAGTAACTATTTTAATGCATTCATGATAAGCAGTAGATTCCTCCCTGTGGCTCAGACAGTGTGCACATGCTGCACAGTGAGGTCCACACTGACCTCAGAGTCAAATCACATGGATATATGTGTAAGGTTATAAGAATATGACTAATTATTTCTATTTAAGAGTGACAACCCTTTGCCTCAAGCTCTATCCTTAAATGTGCTGTTGAGGAAACCCAAGGTCCCGCGTCTGTCTGTGCACACGTGTCATTTTAGTTAAAAAAAGAAACAACATGTTTCCTATCCTCAGCTGTAGGGGTGACTCACAGAAATACCAGTCCACCGAGCGCCCTCTGGGTCCGCCACCTTCTGATGTTCCTGCTATTTCAGAGCGTCTTTTGCGTCATCTTGGACAACATCACTCAGAAAATCCCGGAGCTTTTTCTATTTGTGCTGCAGTTTCTGCATGCACGGCTGGTTCAGGTTGACCAACGCCACGCCTGGGTTTCCAATCCGTCATTCTGTGCTGGGTGGCTATGAATGGGTGGATGGGAACGACAGAACCGCGCTAGTCATCCCAAGGGGATCTCCCTCTGAAAAGGGGTAAACGGAGTCACCACTCTGAGGAAGTTGGCAGTAACCATGGAAACGCTACACGTCTCCCCGTTCTCGTTTCTCTCTACGATTGTCTCGCTCGCTTGTTTCTTCCTGTTCTTGTAGAGTTTTCACTATCTTCTGTCCACTTGATAATTTTTGTTCCCTCTTCCGCTTCTTTCATCAACCTATCTCCTGTCTTTTCTACTCTTACTCTTTCTCTTTTCATCCTAGCCTCTGAGGTAATTTACATCGGTCCAGTCAAAGGTAAGCTTTCCTCTGTCCTTTTCCCTTCAGCACTGCTTCCTCTGCCTTTCCTTTCCTCCCTAGCCTCTAGCCGCCACAGCTGGAGTCTTGAGGTCACATGAGACCCGTAACTCTTCAGGACTAACCGCCGAGTCACCTGACTGCTGAGAGGAAGTCAGCTGATTTGGGTGGTCACATGATTAAGGCTTCAGCTCTCATTAGAAATTAGCGTGAAAGTGCACTTTTTCTTACCGCGGCCCCCGGCCTGCTCACTGTGCCTGCTGACTGTTGAGCACTATTTTGCTTGTGAAAGTGGCGATTAGTGAGATGGTCATGAGTAAATTATAATTGTTCAATACCTTAAGAGGTCAGGATCAGATCTGGAATGGTTTTCATTGATCCGTAACTCTACATGCATACCAGAGCCGAAAGCCCACACAGAAATGTGTTTAAGGATCCAATCCACAAGAGACACTTTCATTTATTGACAACGCTCACATGATTTACTGCTGGTCTTAACAGCCCATGGTGGTCCAGCTCCATCCATCTAAGTCCTTTATGAATCCCCAGTGTGTGGGAGCATTAGGGAGTCGAGTCATGTTAACATTCTTTGTGCCTTTTTCGCCTGCATTGGAGTCGGTAAACAGGATGGAGGAGGCCCGGTTGTGTTTTTCTATGGGCTGCAAACTTTCACCTTGTTCACGGTCTCTCTGGATATCTGGTATTCTGCAAGAGACCCTTTGGGAAAAGGGAAGTACTCTGTGACCTGATGCACTCAACATTTGGGAAAAACCTTGAAGGAACCACCAAACACCCTCCCCCACAAGGGATGTGTGGCCTTAGCCTGCACCCCGTTCTCATGACCTCCGCTCACAAGCACACACGTGCACACTCGCATGCACAAGCCGAGCCCACTTCCTGATTTCGGAAGGGATTTAGTGCTTTAGCCAGTGTTGCTTTGTGACCTAGGCCCCACAGAGGGAGGAGGGAATGGAGGATATGGAGCCTCAAATACTACCATAAGGCCAGCAAACAGGAAATGCACAAAGCTTCCTTTTGGTGGTTTTAATTTAGACTAAGACTAATTTAGACGTAAACGGATACAATCAATTAAATAATTTCTAGCCCTTATTTGTGGAAGATTTTGTTGCTGATTATTATTTAATCTGAAATGTATTTATTTTTTAATCATCCATGCATCCGCCTATATATCTTTGCGTTTCCCCTCTCCTTTGTGTGTGGCGAGTTGTGTAGCAGTAGTTTGCTTCAGTTTTTTTTTTTTATACTGAGTAAGTGAGTGTCCCTGATCATGTTCTGTGCCGTTTGCATGCTGATCCACATCGATCCCGCCATCAGCAGGAGGACGTGGTTGAAGCCACTTATTTGCAAAGTGTGTGTGCTGGTAGTCACATGGTGCTGTTGACTGCTAGCTGGCCTGGCTAGGCTGCGTGTGTGTGTGTGTGTGTTTATTTTGTGTGTGTGCCTTTTAAAAAGTGTACACTCCCCATTCCCCCGATGCTGTTTTCATTGACAATCAGTAATTGTGAATATGCACTCTGGTGCGTTTGAAGTGAGAGTATTACATTTTTTTTTGTCACTGTTTCTTGACATTTATGACATTTATCTTTCTTATTTGGACGTCACTGCACAATTGAGGACTAACAAAGGACTGTGTTTTTTTAGGGAGCATTTACTCCAGTCCCGGCTTGTACAGTAAGACGATGACCCCTACCTATGACTCCAGAGATGGAAGCCCCCTGTCACCCACCACTGCCTGGTTTGGGGACAGCCCACTCTCCGAGGGCAACCCCAGCATCCTCGCCGTCAGCCAGCCAATTTCCTCTCCGGACATCTTGGTCAAACTCTACAAGCCCCAGTCCCTGCTGGACAAAGCCAAGATCAACCAGGGGTGAGATGACTTTGCTTAACGGTCGGGAGATAAACTGCTTGCAGTCGGAGATGTTGTGGTGGATTGCAATGTCATTCATGTGTGATGTGATCAAAATAATTGCGGAGAGTTTGTTTCTGAAGATGCTGTATTCACTTTCCGTGCAGGTGGTTGGACTCATCCAGGTCTCTGATGGAGCAGGATGTAAAGGAGAATGAGGTGCTGCTGCTGAGGTTTAAATACCACAGTTTCTTTGACCTCAACCCTAAGGTACGTCCCACAGCCAATTCAGTGCACTAACCTTGAGTTATTGAGATCATTTGTTTGATGGCGTTTTATCAGTTCAGAACATTGGTCACTGGACTATTCACCCATTCTCACACTGATGACCATATACAGTGCCAACTGCCCATCAGTAACTATTCAGTAACATTCACACACCGTAGTCACAGCTACGGGAGCAACTGCCGTAATACGGCCGTATTTTCACTGCTATTGTTATGTTAAATCAGTTGCAATGCAGTAGAGTATTCGAAAGTCAATGACACCAGTAACCGCGTACAGCTCCTAACTAGCGCTTCACACACATCGAGTTGTCCCAATGTGAATGAAAGGGACTCTGTTTTTTTTATTTGCTCTGTGTTTGTATGGATGTTAACCTCTGTGTCAAACCTCTCCACAGTATGATGCCATCCGAGTCAACCAGCTCTACGAACAGTCCAAGTGGGCCATCCTGCTGGAAGAAATTGAGTGCACGGAGGAGGAAATGATGATGTTTGCCGCCCTGCAGGTAAAAGAGCTTGCATGTGTGTCTGTGCCTAATCCAGATTTTCCTGTTCCAGCGTTCAATTGTCACGGTATGAAGACCTGCAGTCCTCTTTTTCTGGGGAAGTGGGCACGTTGCCTTCTCAACCGTAAGCCAACGAATTAGGTGGGCTGCCAGCTGCCCTGCACGGATACTTAGACTTTGCGATTTCACATTCATACAGAAGGAGCTAATGGGTGCATTATCCCACATTATTCCCATTCAGCGTTGCAATATGGTGCACTGGGCCGAGGCTGTTAGGGTGATGTCATCGAGTCATTTCTGCAAACCTTGAGACAACCTGCTGCAGCCCCTCACACACAGTCATATACAGATGTGAGTCCCTTTAACCCCCCATAGTCTAGGGTTGTTGCCCTGCTATTTCTGACCCTCGTAAACCTTGGGCTCCAAGACCCGAGGACGCCACTCTGTCCTCACCCCCAGGGTAATTATAGAGCATCCCGGCCACGGGACCCAATGCTTTGGTCCAGACCACCCACCCAACCCCCCCCAAGCGGTACACCATCGTAGAGATCTGCTGTCATTCCTCTCAGAGCCCTCTCACACTCTAAGGTGTGAGGTGTGTTTCCTCAGACCAGCTGTAATTACACCTAACTGGTTTCTTGTTACTCTTGAAGCGAGAGATGCTAATCCGAGTAGGGTGTTTAGACTGGCCGCTCCTCTGTTGCTACCTATCAGCCAGCACGTTTGCCAGCTAACGCTATGTTTCAGCGGAGTAGTGTGAGCTCAGGGTTGGTTTTTTTGATAATGATTCACTTATGAGAGATGATACACAGTCCAAATAAAGAGCAGTGATTGTCCACATCCGCATGTTGCTGGCTGGTGTTGGCAAGCTGTCGCCTGGACGTTTGACTCTGGCAGCACGGAGAAATGAGCTAATCGGGAGTCAAACAGCAGTTCTTGTTCTGAAGAACAAGAACTGACCTCAGAGTCTGAAACCTGGGTGACAGCTTGTGCTTTGAGCCTCAGCCGATAAATGCGTACATTCAGACACGCATGCAAACAAACAGGAAATGAGCCGGTGTTGCCATCTTTTTTTTTTTCCTTTCCTTTAAAGACTGTTAAAGTGGAAGAGGGAGATGAATAGAATGTCATAAGCGAGCCCTTTGTCCCACATTCTGAAACCTTAGCAGGCTGCGACCTCGCATATCCCTCTCAAACTCTCCCTTTGTATCTCTCACTCTCTCGACAGCTGTTCATTCATATGTTGGTGGGGGGTTGGCGATGGGTTGACATTATAAATGCCATTTGTCAACAAGTTGTATTTAGTGTCTGACTCACACTAAGCGGTAAACGCGGTTGGCTTTTCAGTTCGTCCTGATGAATCGGCGGTTCCAGTGTTCTCTGATCCTTATTGGCTCAATCTCACACGTGTTCCCAGTACATTTACATTGCATAGCCTGTTGCTATTCAGAGACCTACTGAGAACACAATGTTCAAACCACTGCCCTCTTTTCTCTCAGGGAGTCGTCACCATCTTTATCTTCTCGTCATCCTGAAACGTATCATCTTCGTTCTTCAAGATAGTAATCCCTTCCTCGCTGATAAACTCGTTGTTGCACACTGGCAGCACTCTCTTAACATAAATGCCAACACATGTTAAATAATTAATGTGGCTATTAGCACAGACCAAGTAACTTTTATAAGATGAAGTTGGGGGGTTTGGGCCCCGGCAGTAAACTTTATAGAAATCAGCAAAAGTGTTGACAAAGGTGTTTGTCAGCTGTTCCCTCTTCCATTACTTGAAGTTGATGGGGGGGATTATAATTCCCCCCCCCCCCCCCCTATTGAAGGTTTTAACTCAAAATCATGACGTTTTATAAATTATTCTTAAATTTCTCTGGATGTAATTTCATAGGCACTGCTGAAAATATAAGGACAATTCTTTTGAGGATTTCTTTCTTTCTATCATGAAAGTGTTTGGAGTTTGACCCAAATCGCTGGTCTGAAATGATCATATTAAAAATGAAATAAGATTGAATAACCTGGTTGGACAAAACCAATACAATACAACAAATATAACTTAAAAATGAGCCTAACTGAGGTTGCCTCTTTCCTTTCCTCAGTACCACATCAACAAGCTCTCCATCATGTCTTCAGACAACCACATGAACAACAGTGAGAAAGAGGTGGATGAGGTGGACGCCGCCCTGTCAGACCTGGAAATTACTTTGGAGGGAGGAAAGACGTCTAACTCACTGGTATGACAACGCCGCTGCTCCTGCAGATTCACCGCAGCGGAGACCTTTCGGTTGTGCATTACATGTTTTGGGTTGGAACCCAAAACTCATCTTGTGAATTATTTTACTGCAGCAGCTTTGCAGTGTGTTTGTTGCTTCATTGCGCCACTGTTTTATGAACCTTTTGTCAGCTGCATGAAACAGGAAGTTGAACCTACATAGACATAGTGCACTGACCCTGGGAAGTGGAAATTACAATGGATTTTGATGGAAGTGCTAAATTTCAGTTCTTAATGCGGCCGTCATCTGACGTGAACCCGGGGGGCGTGAGGTGTTTTACACCGAAGTGAACCCAACAAAGGCTGCATGTGACACGGATACGTTACATGTTCACAGATCCATTATTACAGCTGCTCCTGCTCAACAACGTTTCAGGTTTACGCAGCTTGTCAGAGGAAACTGATCTTTGTGATATACTACATAAGAAGTGTTGGTTTAGTAAACGACTGCGCATGAGGTCATTGTTTCTTGTGGTGCTTCGTATTAAAATCGTAGTTTTATACTAACAATGTGTTTTCCCTTCCTCTTAGGGTGACATCACGTCTATTCCCGAGCTAGCGGATTATGTCAAAGTCTTTAAGTAAGTCCGAACAGAGCAAGCTGGTCCCATCAGGTCACATGCGTGTTCAGTTATAAAAACATGACTAAAACAAACTTGAACAACAGTGAATCAATGTGTAGGACGACTGCATTTGTCCAAAAGATGTTGAGTCTCTCAGCGAATTAGGAATCGATATTTCTCCGGCTAAATAAGAGTTGCTGCCTGCTTTCCGCAGTGTAAGATGCTGCATTGCTCGCCAAAGGCATTTATAGGCTGAGCTTTCACTTTAGCTTTTCAAAATGATTACAGTTGGACCGAGCATATTTTTTCCCATATTATTATTTTGGCTTTAAGCCTTCGCTGACTGGCAGGTGGTCCCTGGTGTGGTTGTCTCATTAAATGTATCAACCACAAGGGGGTAGGACGGGGGGGGGATATCAAGAGGCATTTCCTCTTAAGCTGTTTCCCATTAATGTTCGCGTCCAATGCTGACTTAGGACTTGAGGCGCTCTCTTTTGTACTCTCTCTTATGATCTCCCTCTGTTTTCTACATCTTTTCCAGACCCAAGAAACTGACACTGAAGGGCTATAAGCAGTACTGGTGCACATTCAAGGATATCACAATTTCCTGTTACAAGAGTAAAGAAGAGGCACATGGGACACCAGCGCACCAAATGAATCTTAGAGGTGCAAACTAAAATAAATGTCATTGCATGCCGAAATGTCGCAACAATGCAATGCTTAATTTGTGTGAACTTTGACCTAATCCTCCCCTCCTCATTTTGGCTTCCATTTATAGGTTGTGAGGTAACTCCAGATGTCAACATCTCTGGGCAGAAATTCAACATCAAGTTGCTAATCCCAGTGGCCGATGGCATGAATGAGATCTGGCTTCGGTGTGACATGGTGAGACATCAGAAGTTAGCGCATCGTGTTGTTCTTGTCGTTTTTTTTAGCCGTTTTTTTGCATCATCAGCGTTCATCCTCCCTCTCCAGGAGAAGCAGTACGCCCACTGGATGGCCGCGTGTCGCCTGGCCTCCAAAGGGAAGACCATGGCCGACAGCTCGTACAACCTGGAGGTCCAGAACATTCTGTCCTTCCTCAAGATGCAGCACATGAACCCTGACCCTCAGTTCATTGAGCCAATCACCACCGATATCAACCCAGAATGCCTGGTGTCCCCGCGCTATCTGAAGAAGTACAAAAACAAGCAGGTATGTTTCAGGAAGACAAGCTTTGCATGCGTCGCAGGGCTGTGGAAGGTAAAGGGTGTAGTTTAAAAGGAAAAAGCCACACGAAAGGCAACCATGTTGTGTGAAGACGTTTACTTGTTTGATGAGTCTGTTGTCGGGTTAGATGTCGCAATTGATACTGATACTTCCCAGATGGGCGCCTCCTGGCATCGGCCTCGTCTTCAGCTGGAATGTAGCCTCCTCCTCCCCCCCCTCCTTACTCTCCTCCTCTTCCCTTGGCCTCCCCTCCCTCCCTCCTTCCCTCCCTCCCTCCCGCCCACCCGTCCGAGGGGAAACCAGGACAGCAGAAGTCCAAACCACTCAACATGTTTAACAGTAGATCCGTGTCGGACTGCAACGGGTACTTTTTGTGCTCAGAGACAAAAGTGCTGAGGTCTCAGCCGCCGGACTTAAAAGCGCTCATTTAATCTGGTAATAAAACGTGGTCACTTCTTAGCGTTGTCAGCAAGCAACCAACAAACATCTTTACGACCAGGTGCAGAAATTAAGCATCCCCCTTAAGAATCCCTTATTAACTTTCTTGACAACGTTGAAAAAATGTGACAATGTGCTCAGCAGATTTGCATGCAAGCAACAGGCTGTCGTGTGTGTGTGCATTGGAGCAGCTGAGCACACGGCTCCCAAAGCTGTGTTAGTTGGGGATGGGTGTTGTAGGAAAGGGGGGGTGGGTGGGGGCTCTTCGTAGCTGACTCACGCAGTCTGGTTTTGTTCAAGTTGTCGTAGAAAAGATGTCGCTGCGGATTGGAGGGGTGACGGGAGGGTGTTGGTACCACGAGTGATGAGTCTGAAATAATCTGGACCTGAAATGTGCTTGGATATCTAGAGTCAATGAATGAAGTCATCTTTAGTATTAAAGCTTGTTTACCAAACCTGGGGAGGGACCTAACCATCTTCACGTACAGTAACATATCATAAAATCAAACTGTAAAACAGTCTTTGCTTTTGAATTTAGAACTTCAGCTTCCATCAACCATATGCACACAATCAAAACCTCGTGGGAGGGTTAAGATTCTTCTAATCACGAGCTGCTCAAACATCCACGTCCACTGACCCATTTAGATCAGAAAAACTCTCGTCTCAGCTTCATTTTTTCTTAAGTTTTACACATTGCCTTGAACAAGGGGCGGGACCTACACAGGACGGGGTATTGGCTCAGGGTGCGACCATCTGGGGGCCGGGTTTTTTTCGGGGTTAGCTCCAGCCCCTCCCCCCCCCCCAAAGAAACTTTTCCTGGGGGGTGGGAGGGGGGGGCGGTCCTCAGGCATATACAACATGAAAGAGCAGTGACATATTTACAGTATGTTTATGTACCCGTGACACACACACACACACACATGCGCACCCCTGCAGTGGGCGTGGGGGCATCAGGAAATGAGCCGTGCCGGGGAATGCTGCGCGGGAAAACTGGGGGGAAAAAAGCCCCTCTCCTAGTCAGCTGTGACCCGCGGCTCCCCCTCCTCCCCTCTCCCTCCTCCCCCACATCTGCCCTAAACCGGACTTCCTGTCACAACACTGGTCCGAGGAGACTTCCCCCGCTGCAGCTCTCAGGCAGGAATGTTTTTAGATATTCTGGACCGGCGTGGTCTCTGGCCAAAATAGATACATTTACACGAGAGAAAACAAGCTTTTAAGGACACGATAATAAACTCCTGGAGTATCTGAAGTGTGCTCCTCTGGTGCAATGCCGCCACCTAGTGGATGAACGCGGAGTGAGGAGACGCTGTGGGATTCGTTTTGAAGGGCCTTTGTAAAGTATCTGGGGGTTCCAGTGCTTTCTTGCCCCGTGTGAACCCGTGATCTTCCTCCTTTCTCTTAAATAGATGACACTCTGACTGCTGCTGTGCTCTCCTCCCTGTTGTTGCTGAATACTGCATGATCTCTAAAGATTCCACAGCCCCTCTCACCACTATTTTTTTTAAATCTTTTATTGCAATCAAGGCCTCCTACTTTATTGTTTTTTTTATCTTTCCTCCCTTGACATTGATCTTACTCGCTTGTTCTTTGTCCAACCTTTCTTTTCTCCTTGTATGCATCTCCTTCATTCCTCTGTGCCCTTCTCCCGTCTTCAGCCAGGCTCTATCAGGGACATGGTAAGTTGAGTTGTGTGTCCACTGGGTGACTCGTAAGCCTTAGACACATGGATCTGCATGTGTGTCCAAACACTGAACGCGTTGTGTGTCCGGTTTGCCTCACCTAACCAAACGTAGAATCCTATCATGTAACATGTCACAGTAGCACAGATAGAATCCTTCTTCTTGGTTTGTTTGTTGTTTGTTGTTTACTTGTCACCGTTTCCAGTGACAAGCAGATGACACCAAATGCTGTTGATACAACATTTAGACATCTGTATCTTCTACTTTCCTTTACACTCCCATTAGCGACAAATATAAATGATCCCAAAAACACCATATTCAGTGATGGTGGTGTTTTACATGTTTCAGCCCATTTAACAGCAGTTACATTTACCAGTAATGGGGAACATTTATCATTGAAATTCAAGAGAAGTACCAATGTGTTGGGGAGTATGACACGGCCCAACAGAAACATCCTGAGGGTACATTAAGTGATCCATCGCAGTAAAACTCATTGATTTTGTAGTCATTTATAAAAAAATTCTAACGCAGTTGAACTAAGAAGGGTTTCTTCTGAACACCACAGAAACGATCCGCCTCGTCCATTCATTCCCAACGCCTGTGTTTGCATTTGGTTTTTCCCTCCAAAGTAGCGCAAGTATGCAATGCTAATCATTAGCTGACTGCAACATGTGGAAGGTTGGCAAAAGTTCACCGCGATGGATTAGTTATTCCTGGCTCTGCAGGTCTCTGTTACTCTGCTCTTCCAGCCAAATCCATTGATCAAATAATTATGGGAACACACACCTGCATGCACACCCGCACGTTTACCTTAGTGTGGCTCCCCGGTGGGCTCATAGGTTAATGTCTGACAGCCCTCTGCTTATTGGCTGACTCTGTGTACGCTGATGGCTTTATGGAATTAGCCACGGCTTGTTTATTTACTGTTTGTGTGGATTTGGGTGCATCAGGTGGTTGACGTTTTGCCGACGCGTGTTGGTGTTTGTCTGGACTCAAATAGTGGCAGCACGCCGAAATGTCACAAGCGTAAAGTCGGCCATTGTGTCTCCTGTCAGATTTCAGCTCGGATCCTTGAAGCCCACCAAAATGTGGCTCAGATGAGCCTCATCGAGGCCAAGATGCGCTTCATCCAGGCGTGGCAGTCGCTGCCCGAGTTCGGAATCACTCATTTCCTCGCAAAGTAAGCCGATGCGTCTTTACACTTGTTTTTACAAACCACCAACTCCGTAAGAGTTTCATGCGATCTGCACAGTTTCATTTCACAGTGGCCTCCCTTCTTCTTCTTCTCCTCAGGTTTCAGGGTGGAAAGCGGGACGAACTGATTGGCATCACTTACAACCGTCTGATCCGGATGGACGCGAGCACTGGAGATGCAATCAAGACCTGGCGCTTCAGCAACATGAAACAGTGGAACGTCAACTGGGAGATCAAGATGGTAGGCAGCACGTTGAACAGGAATACTTTCATAAAATGGGATTTTTTTCAATATTCCAAACGGGTTTTCGACCTGTTGTCCCTCAAAGGGTTTTTAGTTGATGTTGTTGTTAGAGCTGACGAGTGGATTTAAAGGGAATTACAAAAGATTTGGCACATCAAATCTTCCCGACAGATTAAAACCTTTTTTGGGGTCTACCCTGAGCTCCACAAAATCAGACAAAAGTGCCCCATGTGATGTAATTTGAGTCAGCGTTATTTCTGATTGGAGCTTTACAGTTTGGAACAAGAAAAATATCTGAAGGTAGATTTAAAAAAAAAAAAAAAAAGAAGTGCGACATCAGACTACTGTAGCCTGATGCTAATCTCAGCTCGAGGTTAGTACACTGGAACAGCTGCAGCGTGGACAAAGCTGCATTGTGGGTAATTCAGGTGCTTTGTTTTGAGGTAGAAAAAGAATGTGTGGAATGATGTTAAGGGAACAAACGGGACAAGTTACTGAAACACAAATCCCTTTTTGCCGGTTTCTTTATTGCGTACTTTTGTGCTCAGGTGAAGGTGGAATTCGCCGACGAGCCCTGCCTGTCTTTCATCTGCGCCGAGGTGGACTGCAAAGTGGTCCACGAGTTCATCGGCGGCTACATCTTCCTGTCCACGCGGGCCAAGGACCAGAACGAGTCTCTGGATGAGGAGATGTTCTACAAGCTGACCAGCGGGTGGATCTGAGCTGCCCAGAACCGCCAGGGGGGCGTTTGTAGGTCGGGCGCCAGGAGGGGAGGGGCTGGGGCACCGCGCGCGTGGCCTTTTATTTTATTCTCCGTCTTGTTTGATTGTTGTGCCGAAGAGTCCAGAGCAGCGCTGTAATCACAATAGCTCGCAGCCTTTCCATTGTTGACGCTGACCAGGTCCTTTTTTTTTTTTTTTTTTTTATAACGCTGATGTTCTGGTGAATGCAGCAAATCTTCACACGCACCTGAACCGGGGAAGTTCCTCTGTTCTCCTTCGTCCATCTGCCTTCCTCTCCTCCTGGAATTGATGACCATCAACTAACGTCCACGACACCCTCTTTTTAAAACCAATCAAACACCACACGTAATCCCAAAGAATCCCCCCTGCCCTCCTTTTTGCTCTTTCTCTCACTTCTTTTCCCTCCTTCCTTCTTCTCTTCGGTGTCACTGATACTTACAGCTATATTTAATTATTTATCCTAAGAGACGGACTTGGTGGGAGAGTCTGATCATGAGGCCATCTGTGAGGAGCAGAGGCTACTGAGCACTACGTGTCCATCCTGTTCAATCACATGTAAGCACTTCTTCAGTATACGGTCCTGTTAACAAATAAGCTGTCGTTAAATGTCTTTTTGCTTTGGGCGTGCGTTGTCTTTGCTTCAGAGCCATTGTCGGGTCTGGTCGTTGTATTGGCCGACAGGAGTTTTGTTTTGTATTTAATAGGCTGTTTATTGTGAGCATGTCTGGAAAAACACTACAGTGTCTTGTGGGTGAGAAAATCTGTTCCAACTGATTTGTAACAAACCAAAAAGAAAGTCATCTTTAATAAGTCATCAGCTCAAGTGTTCAGCGTATCTGATGTTACTTGAAAACAAGTTTTTAATCAAAACGTTTGGGGTTGGTATGTTGAAGGAGGATAACTAATGATCATGTGTATTTAAATTATCTCAGTTCCTTGTTATCACAAATGTTTGAAGACTGAACATAGCTCGCTCTATGACTCTATGACTAGATAACCTGCCGAGACGCATTGACGATTTACTCAACATCTTTGTTCATTGCTGCTGTTTTGAACGTGCCGAGAAGTTGCTAAAATCGCAACAGATTTTTTTTTTAATATAAACAAAAAAAAACGATAATTGCTAAGTACACTACGCAACATAAAGAATCCTCGTACAATCTTTTAACTTTATTCTTGTTTCCCACACCATATAGTATTATTATAATTATATCATTACACACCAGCAAAAGGTCACAGTTTGAAGAATGAATATGCAACGTTTTTTTGTCCTTCTGTCCTCAGTGTGAAGGATCAGTAAATGAAGTATTATTTTTTGTAACTAATGTAAAAACACAAACGTTTTATAGAAATGTACAGTTTTTTTCTGCTTTTTGGGGTGTTAGGAAGTTTTTCCTTTCAGAAAAGAGGGGGGAAGCCATCTGTCAACACGTGTATTATTCAGAATTGTGCCTGCTTATGTTGTGTCCTTACTGAGTATTCCTATGAATATAAGTATGAAGATATATGAAGATAACACTACAGTCTCAAACTCCAGGTTTGTTTAAGATATCTGTCAAGTACATATTATAATTGTTTTTTAAAGATACAAATACTTCTTTAAATGTGCTCTTTGTTTTTGCATTTCCACTTTATTTTGTTGGTTTTCTGCTTTCTCTTCTGTCCTGTGGCCCTAAGTTGTGTTTTTATCCCATCTTGAGTTCGCATAAAACTGCATTTATTGTGGCAAATTTGATTTGCTTAGCGCCTTTTTTAATATACTCGTTTGTCTGGTTTTGTCACAACTAAAGTGTGCCATTTAATAATGTCCATATGAAGGAGACCCACATTGTTTGAGACGAATCAGCATAAGTGAGTAGAAAACCCAGCCTAGTCTGTTGTTTCTCTGATGTTGCTTTTGTTTGCCTCCAGTGTCAGAAGCAGCGGTGCATGTCCAGCTGCTCTGTTTTCTGACTGTAAAAAAATGCATTTATTTTAAAAAATAAAGTAATTTTTATTTAAAAACGTCCTTGTCTCATTTTCCCAAATGCAGAATGTCTTTAGGTATGAGGCTGACGTGATATTTTTTTTCAATAATGAAAATAACAATCTGTTATTGCTAGACATAAATCTCCAGAAGTGGGCCTGAATTTTAAAGGCTTAATTTGCTCGAACTACAGCCCTACTGGTGGAGGTTTTATGATTATAAGAGTGAACAGTAAAATCAAGTGAGTTCGTTATAAATTACATGATGGAGACCAACGTTTGCATAGAAATATGATACCCAAAGGCAAGGAAGTAACATCCGTATCCTCACACACTCCCTGCCTACCTACATGAGCACTGGTGGCGTTCCTCCACTTGAGGGCACTGCCCCGCCGCCTGTATTTCCTCTCTCGCCCGTCATAATCTTGGTGCATTGCAAGTGGCCCCAAAAATGTTTCTCTGGCCGAGTCTGACGCATCTACCTGGCGTCCCAGCAGAAAAGCAAGCGCCAGATTGCCGAGGAGATTGGACCAGAGAGCGCCTGCAGACGGTCTGTCAGTGAGCGCGCTTTGGGACACACCACACGTCTGCAGGTGTGAGTGGCCATGACAGCATGGGGGCCTTTTCCCACCTCCTTAAGTCCACGGTACAACCATGTGGAAAGAGCTGCATGGGCCAAATGAGGAAGGTTTTAGAAAGACGACTGCGAGCACAGTCAAGGACCCTAAATTAAAACACTTTTAATTCCTCTCTGGTTTTATTGAGATCAAACACTACTTGACGAATGAGACGTCTCTGTTGCAGATGTGCAGATTTCATCGGCCCCGTGAGCTTGTGTGCTCAACGTCTCACCTGTTCCATTCATCACAGCAGCGTCCTGGTTGAACCCAGTGCACAGTTCAGTTCCAAAGAAGAAGAATGGCTCTGCTTGTTCTTCCCAGCTGGCTGAAGTCATTGTTAATGCCATGGGGATCTTTCTAGGAAAGTGTTTCTGACAGTCACCATGTTGCCTGCGGGGAACGCGATGCTGGGGATAATGTCAGCCATGGCAGCAGATGTAGTGATTGGCTGGTTTCGGATAAAGCTTTTAGGAATATTTTTTTCTCTTTAGACTAGTGTGTTGAACCTGACTACATCCACTCTGCTGACAACAACTCAGAATAAAGGAAATCTAATTTGATGGAAAATAACTAATAAATATCTAGCTAATTATATAAAAGTATATGTCCAGACTAACAATTTAACAATTTTCTTTGTAATTTTAAGGTAAATTCTATTAGTCTCAGTGATTAAAGACAGCAACTGTTGACTTTAATTAATGTATTTAATGTCTATCTTTAATCAATAAGTAGTCTTATTATTTCCGTCATGTGATTTTTGCAATCAAAACCATTGTGGAACCTAATGCAGCACAACAATATGATTTTTCCTTTTAGCTGGAGATCTTAATAGGATAAATGAATAGGATAATACAACAAAAATATGTACACATATTAAAGAATAAAATAATCAACTCTAAAAAGGACTCACGTGTTATTCCCGTTCTCTTGGACTGTTCAGTCTCGATGTGTTTTCCATGGAAAAGGCCAAAAAGTCCTTGGCTTTTATCTTTAAGTCATCAATTTCATTCTGGAGCAACTAAACTATTCCTCTAAAAAAACAATATATATCATCTAGTCAAAGCTGTTTTTTGGTTCCAGGGTTAAAACATCAAATCTTTTTTAACTCACTAAGTCCTGTTTCTTGTCTTTTGTTCACACCAATAAATCCATGAGATCTTTGTCATTGGTATTAGTTTATTCCTACTGTTAACAACGAGCCTTTCAAATACCCTGTGAGGCTGCTTTTATAGAAAGTTTACACGTTGGTCATTGTATGTTGTGAGTTCTCATATAGAAGATATCCATCTACAGTTCTTAGCAGCTTCAACCACAATCAGCATTTCACACTACTACAGCTCATCTGTTGGATGATTACTAGAAAGTTTTGGTCATCCACCTTGTTAGTTTGGCCTTGAAGTCCAGGACGTCCCGCATGCAGTTGCAGAAATTACAAGCATATCATCAAAGTCTCAGAAGTGATCCGCAGGGTGTCTTCTCAGCTAATGAGGTCATGTCACATGGTGTTTACAGATAAGAGTCAGGCCTGTTGTGAGCCAACGCGCTTGCATCATCAAATACATGCAATGCAAGAATTTCACAGTCATGCGTTTGTACTGTACACAAGTACACACAAATTGTATGCGATAAATAACAGCCAGAGCTACAGAGGTTGTGTAACATTTAAAGTTGAATCTTCTCCCGGGCGAGTCTTTACTAAGATCATCCACTGGCCTTAAGCACTGTTGTACAAAGTTGGTTAATTCGCATTGCCTCACGCACTAAAACCTTGTTTGGTACATCTTATCTTTCACTTGAGTTAATGCAGTTTACGGGGCTGACTTTGTTCGGGGATTTGTTTGCGACAAACGCGTGCCGGTCCCTTTTTCCCCCTTTCTTTACCTGAGCCTTTATGGGAGTGCAAGTCTGATGACTTGTAAAGGAGGAAACAGGAATGCTGGGAGGTGTTGTTTCAACACTGCAAGAATCAATAGAAATCTTGCTTTTAAAAAAAAGGTTAACAAAATACACAAATAAAGGTGGAGTAAAGGCTGAGTGGGGCACTACAGACACATTTATCTTCAATAGGGGCATTTATTTAGTATGAATATGGCTTCAACATAATGAGATAATCCAGTTGTTTTGAAATCAATCCCCTTCAATCAATAGAATTAAAAAGGCCTCAAACACTAACACCTTCTTGGACCTCATCGGTGTCCTATCCAATTTAATTTCATCCACTTTTTTACCACCCGTGTACCATAAATCATTCACGGACATCAAGCCCCAATCCAAAAACAAGTCAGCGAGGGCCCTCCGCCTCCATGTGTCTCCGCACTGTGACATTACGGCCATGACACCACGTAAAGACAATAAACAATACTGAGACCAAATAAAGACCAAATTGAACTTGCAAAATGAAATTGGATCCCTGTGTTTCCCAAAAACATGGCCCACGAACGAGTGGAGCGGGGACGCCCGTCCGCCTGCATGCAACCGCGGGGTTCTCGGGGCCCGCTCCGGCCCCCTGAGGGGAAACGCGGGGGCGGGCAGCGAGCGATGCGGTAGGGTTTGAGAAATTGTGTTTATCGGACAAGCCCGGTGAGGGTGTCCCCAGGGTGGAGATTGCCAACCAGCATAGAAGGTAACGCGCTCCGTGGAAGGACTGCTAGGTACAGACAGGTCGTCTTGGCGGTGGTCCGGAGGAATAGGCCAGCGGGCAACTTCACTTTATCTCATAACCTATAACACCACACAGAAGCCCGGGTCCAAGCTCCTTACGCATTTGCTTCAAAATGAGGTGTGTGGAAAAATCATGGTTCATCCACCCTGCACAAGCTTCAAAAGTGTCCCGATAAGCTCATACTTTTGGCGGGTAGAGACCGCCCGAAGTTCAGCCCTCTGCTCTGGAGGCCTATGTTTTGAAAAACCCAGTTTCTGAAAACGGGCACCTGGAGGCCCTTTGATGTCTGCTGCAAAATCGAAACAATAAGGAGAGGCCCAGACCGGCCCGGGACTTTCTCTTTAACGGGCTCCCGGCTTGGGACGTGTGGACTACACGTCGGGGGGACCAAGTCTCGCCTGTATATGCGTTTAGGGTTGTCCAGGTAGCGCCAGTGATGGAGCCATGTAGCCAAGGAAATGCCGGACTCGGATAAAACTTTGGACCCGGCGTTTCTCTCAATGTCAGATTAATGTTCTCTCAACAGGAGACATTTGGCAAGGTGTAAAAAAAAAAAACATTGTTAAACGACACATTATTTCCATGAAAAGTGTCCAAAAACCATCGCTCGTTAATTACTGAGGTGACCACACACAAAACACACTCTGCACACACACCTATCAATCAGCGGCCTTGCGTCCGTGATGAAGATTGAAATACTTTGTGGTATTTAATGGTGCCCGGAGTCTTTTGCACACCTCGAAGTATAAGCCTTGATTCATGATGAGGTTCTCCTTATGAACATTTCTGCGTTAAGCTGCTGCCTTCGGGCAAAGGGAGATAAATGTTTCTCCGGTGTTGGCACGGTGCGTGTGAGCAGGTGAGGGCAAAGAGAAGACTGACAGAAACTTACTCTTACAGCTCTGCATGCTGTATTGTGTCTCCTTTGTGTTTCTCTGGTGTAGAAGAGAATTGGGTTCACAATGGATAGTTTTGATGTGATGTTAACAGCATCTACAGTGCTTAAAAAGTGGAGTCTTGTGCCACCAGTTTAATGCCAATTATTATGAGATTAGCAAGACCTCCGCTTTCCCCGTAAAACCTACACGTCTAAATCTAATTTGATATTGATTTTTGGGTATTAAAATGAAAGGTGTTGTTGATTGAACAACTGCTCTCATATTATTGATAATAATTAATTATTAAAAGGGACTGGAAGACATTTTTTCTCTGTTTTAGAAAGCGGTAAAGCAGCCATGATTGATCTGAGCATGAAAGTCATTTGGAGCGGCTGGCTGAGCGTTCAGATGATGAAATCTAATTAAGGTTGCTGTCTTTGCTCCCAAAATTCATGCTTAAAAAGTCAGTGTGAGCAGTTGTTTGGAGGGATAATCTCAGAGCAGTTCCAGGTCCTTCGCCTCCAGTAGTGCCTTAAAGGTCATTTGGATCATTTCTACAACCTTCTGGACCAATCGGAAGCGTCTTCACAACCATCACATGAATGATTTATCGTAAAGTGTGGAACAGCCTTGAAGTGTGGCCCGTAGATTTCTCTTAACGGCTACACGGAGGTCAACATAACAAGGGTATATGCTCTTGTACGTCTAATGTGAACCTTCCCTGAACGATATGAGCTCATTGACGTGCTCTGTAACACGCGTGGAATCTTAAACGAACGCACACCTCGTACACTGCGCGCGCTTTTTGGAAGCAACACATGTGCGACGGCTCGGCTTCCCTCTCTAGTCAGCTCTCGCACAGCTTTGGAACCAGTAACAAACCGCACAAACTCAGTGTTTGATTTTAGTGCAATCCCCCGAAAAATGAATGAATACGGACTAACAGGAGAGTGTGTGGGTTTGTGGAGAGACGAGAGGCAGCCGGAGGTCGGACCACAGGGTCCTTCACGCCGTTTCCACCCCTCTATCGCCTGGCCTCCGTGTTTACCCTGAGGGTGGAGGCTGGAGGCAGAAGTGCTGCTAAGGTGGAGCTCCTGGCTCCGTGTGGGAGAGCTCCTGATGGGGAAAAGAACAAATTGTGCTTCGAGGAGCGGGAACGCCGTGGATCCGTCCACAATTACAAGCTTGTTGTGCGCACTCGCTTTATTTACGATGCAAAATACATCACGCAGAATAACAAGGAAATATGTATAAAGTAATGCAGAAGACATCTGTAATTTTTCTCTTTTATGTGGCCTCTTTACGCATCGGTGCAGTGGAGTTGCTCTTCATGAGGGATGAACCAGTGTAACAAGCAGGTACAGAACATCAAAAACAATCTTTAATGCTACTTGAGAGGAGCTCTGAGGGGAATATTACACACATGAGTTTCGAAGCGGATAAACTGCACCCAGGGCAGGAAAGCACAGCTGCTCCTGAAAATGACTCAGGCGAAACCAAACAAATGACTCCCCATACAGCGGTAAGTACAAGATACCCAAGCAAATTCACCGGAAAAAGATGTGACTGGTGAATTTTCCGCCCGAAGCTCCCAGTCCCATAACTCAAAGGAATCTCAGCCGCTTGAGCAAAAAACCCCGACGGATGATCCGGCCTCTGAGGCGTCAGGCGTCCAAACGCTCACCTCGGCTTGGAACTGAGCAATTCACATCGTCGAGCGTTCGGCGCGTATGTTTTTCAGCTCGTTTTTGAGACAGGCAGTGCAGCGCAGGTCACAACCTTGTCTTGTTTTAGTGTTTCGCCTCTTTCATCACTTCGATAACCTGCCACGTCTTTCAGCTGCCCCGAATTCCCAAACTCACCAGCAGGAAGCCGCTAATGCCCTTTGACCCCTCAATGCCTGTGTGTGTGTGTGTGTCTGTGTGGTTTCATGCTCTTGTGTGTGTGTTGTACCCCCCCTCAGACCCTCTTCACTGCCTCTTTTTCCCTCAACCTGGAAAGAGTGACTCATCCTGAGCGTTTGCTCATGTGGGGGAGCGCCGAGGTGCAGCTCAGTGTTCCTACAGTGTGAGCGTCAGTCTGGCATCCAGACTCATCGCTGTCCCAACGTGCCCCGCGGCCATAACGGCAAAACACTCCCCTCCATTTACAGCCTAACACTCACCAGAGGAGCCTGCGCGTAAATCACACTGAATTGCCTGAAGCAAAGCGCAAGGCGATGGTCTCAGAAGACTCAGCAAAACATCTTTCAATTCTTATGTTCTCGAAATGAACTATTTCCACACGCCGCACCAGATGGTTGAGCAGCTTGATGTGGTGTGGAATTACAATGCTAGACGACTTTAATACAATCCAGGAGAAGAAGGAATTTGTGATATTGGCGTTATTTTGTTTTTCAACTGCATGGATGAGAGAATCATTTGTGGAGGCGGTAAACGGATTTTATTCATATGGGAAAATAACAGAATAGCGTCTGAAGGAAATGAATACGGTTGTCCTTATATTCTTAAAATGACACCTTTTCAAAGGACTTTGGTGTTGCAGCAGATTACCACAGACAAACAAATAACTGCGGTGTATTGAAGGAAATCCGAAGCATTCGTTTTTGATCTCGAACTGCTGTTTGTGCGCCAGAAGTGGATTTGTTCATCCCTCCTCATCAAATTGACAGACATCTGCACATCGTAAACAGTGGCTCAACTGCTCATCTTTCCCCTTCTGCAGCACGTTGACAATCAAATAAAACAGAAGCACGTCACACTTGAAGCGTCTAAGATGAGGCAGCATTGCCCAAGTGTGTCCGAGTGTGTCCACGATGTAGACGGAGCTTTCGAAGGCAGTCGAATCAAGGGAGGAACTAGAGAAGGGAGACTGGAATGACTTGAACTCAGCCGAGCAAAACAGAGACAGACACATGCAGTTCCACTGCCTCTGTGTGTGTGTATGTGTGTGTGTGTGTGTGAATTCCCAAGGAATACGTCTCTGTTGTCGTGGCTTTGGAAACAAATAATGGTGGTAAACTAGAGGTTGAGCACAGGTTCCTGTAGTGGGCGGCCGTAAAACAGGTAAAAGAAGTTAAGCAGCTTTTTCTGGGGAAATACCCTGATACTTTTCTCGCTGACGCTCATAATCTCGGGAGCCGTTATGCGCTACATGCAGCGTCACGTTTAAAGTGTTTCAGTTACAGGGTGAAAAAACTAAAAGACATTACCTCCATAATGCTGTTACAGTGGATAAGGACTTTGAGTGACTATTGTGGGGCCATAACCTCGTCATAGTCCTCTGTGCGAACAAGTCATTCAAAAAGTGAAGAGCTAATCATTTTTATATAGTGAGCATTGAAATGAATTATTCAGTTGGCCACACTGTGGGAAGCTGTTTAAAAAAAATACTCATTACATAACATCCCCATAAGGATTCCTCAGTGCAATTGTCATGGAAACGTTTATTGCGTTATTGGGTTTTTAGGGTCGCAAACACAGATACTAGATTTGTTTAATTCATAAACTGCACTGTAACTTTTATTTTTAAGCTTGTTTGTTAAGTTTATACATATGTTTCGATAATAAACACCAAAAACAATATTACTCATCAGTATCTACCAAGTCACATTCTAATCATCTGCCTATTATTAAGCTGCGGAGTTGGAATGTAACTTTTCGGGATTGTATCTTTGAGTAAATCCACTGGATTAACTAGTTGAGTCTTGGGTTTAAAAGCCCTAATAATCCCACATCGACACCTCGTGGATGGAAAAACCTGCGCTACTAGTTGTAAACTGTCACGCGGACGCGCGCTGCGTGCTGCTCTGACACCGTGCGCGAGGACGCAGTTCGTGCGTCTGGGAACCCGGCTACTGGTTTGGTTTCATGTGCGCACGCACGGTCGCACAACCCACCCACACACACACGCGGACACACGCAGCCGCAGTCAGACAGCCCCTCCGCCGACACGTCGGCGGGGAAAACAAACTCTCTCTCCGCTCCCAGAGCGACGAACGGCCGCCGTGGAAGTGAAGTGGACGCGATGTTACACGCGAGTGGCTCCCGTTCAGCGTGACGAGACAAGCGGGGAGAGGCGTCTCAAAGCGGGACACGTCGGTAAGTCCACGCGAGCTCCGACGTCTGCTTTCAATCCGGTTTGACACAATACGTGTAGTTTGTTTGTATTATTTTGTCTCCACTGCGTCGCCTTGCCAGTTGCGACAAGTGTGCGTGCGCGGTGACTGTTGGCGCGCACGTGCTCGTGTTGCGCCAGGCTGAAGTTGCTGTTTCATTTTCTCCAATTAGTCGCGCGGGGTTTTGTTTAGTCGCGTTGCTCCTGTTGAGCGTTGCGGGAGCCTTTGGAGAGCTTGGCGATGACGCGTCGTTGACTCGGAGCTTTTGGAGAATTCGAGTCAATTTCCATTAATTGTCCTGTTTATGTGTCTTTGTTCAGAAACCAGTTTCACTCACGACTTCGGGTCATTCACAAATAGTCCAGTGAAATTCGGTGTCGGGTGGAGTCTACCTCGAATAGGATGATTGTGGGCTGTGGGCTTCTGTCTGTTCCTTTTTTCACAAGGCCACAATTGTGGTCACCTAAATGATCATAAAGTCTCCACATGGTGACGTTATGGTCTCATAATAATGGCAGTTTGTGATGAAACGCTTGTTGCAGACCAAAATAATCCTGGAGGGGAAAAGTAAATCACTATATTTAATCAACATTAAAAGTTAATTTAAACTATTTCAAACACCCAGTTTGAACTGTAATCTATTTGTTTACAGTTAAACCCATTACATTTCCAAAATACCTTCTCATTGGAAACATCTAGATCTGGATGAAAGCAGAAATGACCAAAGGATAAAACATTTGGGCATCACCAAAATAGAAGAAGCGAGCCTTGAATCTTCATCATGACCATTTCATTCTGAATGAATGTTTACCCAACATGCTTGGTGTTGTTTTTCCCTGAAATGGTTGGTCTTGTGCTTTGTGTAATCAAAAGATAGAAGTAAATTCCTGAAGGCCAATTATCTCTCCGGCGCTGTATCTCTGACGGGGACGTTTGGTTCAGGGGATCACTGAGCCTCCTAATCGCAACCCTCGTGACTCCCGATGGCGTTAACTAACCCACTTAAAGGAAAAACATCGCTTCTCCCCATGCAGGAGTTCAGCGCTTAATTTGCTCTGGCATGCCATAAAAGATAAGATTACACCCCCCCCCATACTTCACTGTCCCATTACAGTCAGCATAATGTAAACCTTCGGGCCGGCCGCCTCCCTGTGTGTCCGCCACCTCGGCTTGTTTGCTTTTGCTCGACAGATTTATCGTTGCGAACGTACAGACCTTTTTTTGTCGTATGAGGAAAACGATAATGTCGGTAAGAGTGGGAGTCCGTGAGGAATCCGTATGCTCCGGATGTGGTTCCTCCCCCTGCAGGCTCTGTTTGCTTCACCTCTGTCTTCATATGTCATCCAAATCTAATATGCACGCCACTTACACTAACGCAGTGCTGTTGCTTTCAGCTCCCCCTTATGCAAACTTATTACACATTCACCTCTTTTGTGCCGTGAATGCCTTGAATCATTTCGCCAGAACGTAAATGACTCATCGCTGTGAAGTAGAATGGCCGTTGCGTTCGACGCATCCATCGGTAAGTGCTCTATGTTTGCTTGTCAGCCACTTACCTGTCAAGTGTTTATGGCCAAACGCTGCTGGGCCATAAAGAACGAGCTCATTAGAGGGCCTCGGCGTGTCATTCATTGATTCACGGTTCGCCCACATGCTCCTTGGCCACTACAACCACTAGCAGGGAAAAAGGGTTGTTCTTCACATTTGTTTCTTTTCGTCTGTCTTCTGATCAATGGTTCCCAGTCGTTTTTAGGACATGTAACAGACGTCAGCTGTGCAGTATGTTTCCTGTGCACCTTTTTGCCCCACGGTATACAAGGTACATTGTTTGCTTTACGTATTGTAAAAGGCAAAATAAATGATGCTCAAAGTACAAAGACTGATTACTAGGGCAGGATAAAATGTAAGTGAAGGAAACCCTGAGAAGGATCTCAACCTCTCGTTCCTCACGCTCCGCTCTCAGAGCGTTGCAGACAAATTGCAGATATGTTCCCTAGAGAATAAATTGGGCTACGTAATGCGTGATCCACTATCTGAACACCAGTTTTATCCCATTGCTGAGCACAAGCTTTTCTCCCGTGGGATACTTCGAATCTCTTAAAAGAACTTCTTTCCTGTCATTTCCTGTTCCACGTAGCGTTGTCATGCACACAGTAAACCTCTGGATTTGTGACACAAAGAAATTCTGTATTTGGATTTGTTTGTGAGGGATCCAGATGCTCTGCTCTCCACAAAAGTAAACAAGGGCTGACATGCACTTGTTGTTGTTATTATACGTATACTTACTGCGTCAGCTAAATGACATTTAATGTAATGTGAAGGGCAAAGGCCGGTTTTTCACATGAGTGTCCTTGAAGGAAGCTTAAGGAGGAACCTTGGTGTCGACAAAGCCAGACTTTACATAGTAAAACAGTGTTGCAGAATAGAATGAATTATGCATAGAAAGAAAAGTGTGTTTTTGAGCTTTGCTGAGTGACATGCACATTGAGTTGGTTTCTGATCGAGGGATTTGGGTGTTAGATCTCATAGTTGGAGGGAGAAATCCGGCCTGAAGTCCTGTCCAGCTTGAGTAAGCTGTCCTTGTTCTTGGGTTAGTAACAGCTGTTGTGTTCTACACTTTGTACGAGGATATTTCTGACAAAAAAGTCCAGATAGTTTTCGGAGTTGTACATTTCAAAACTACTGATGGGCTCTCTTTCCCTGACTATAATTTCATATAAAACACTAAAGAAAGTTTTTTTTTTTTTTTTCTCAGCATGAGCTGAAATGTGAAGAACATAATTCTTGGTGAGAAATGATTTTTTGTTTTTTAAACCCAAGCTGGGATCTTTCTTTCAGACATCTCTGTGCTGTGTGAAATCAAACAAACTACATTTGTCTTTGAAAGCTTCCAAATCAGTCAATTCTGAATGAGCGTTGAGGGGATGAGTTGCCGCTTGGGCAGGATTATTTTGTGTTTGATTTCGTTATCTTGTAAAAAAAATCATTCTGTTCCAAATCCTTCTTTTGTATCACACCCGTACGGCAACTCTCCGCATCGCTTCCCTCTAGTTCTCTGCGTTGGTGGATACTCTGTAATGCGTTTGTCTTCTTGCTGTCTATCTGTTGCTTGTTGCTGCCCCCCGACCCCCCGAGGGAAAAATACTTATTGACACACCAGTGCAGTTGACTTGTACGTGTTTGCAGAACGTGTGCCATTGCCCACGCCTCTCAAACACCGCACACTTTGTTGCTGGAATGCACTGTGCACATTTTTGGTCTGAGTAGGTTTACACAAATACCATTTTTAAATTTTTTTTTTTATACAAAAAATCAACTCGAAATGAGCTCTCGACGCCGCGTAGCGTACCGCTCCGCACCTGCACTTTTTGCCTGGCCACAGTTTGCCTCAACTTTGAGTTATGTTAACAATAAACGTTTGTGTTTGACAGAAAAAGCCACAGTTTGCAGGTTGCAAAAGATTTAAGAGACCGTAGCAACGAGCGCATGGAAGAGCTTCCCTGTCGTAAAAGCTGTCAGGAAGTGCATGAGTAGTGTATCCCGTCAGTTCAACATAAGGTGCAAAAATGTGTTGCCTGACCCCCGCCCCTACCTTAACCTGAACCGCAGCCAATGCTGTCCTCGGCCTCATGGGCGAACTTGAATCCTTGCAGAGAGACGTCGCACGCAGACTCAAACCGGCGGTATACGTGTCAATGCAGGTTTCTGAAGCCAAGCCTTCTTCTTGTATACTGCCTTGGCTCACAAGTGCACATTCTTGCCATAGTTTGTATCTATGTGATCAATTTGTAATGGCTCACACTGTCAAAATATTTATTGCACCAGCTGCTAGCAATTTTGCAGGTTCCCCGAGCAGAGGAGTAAATATACGCGGTTATACTCACAAGATGGACGTCGACAATTTATGCGTCCCAAAAGGGAAATTGTCGACACACCTCAGATCGAGTGTGACGAGGTCCACCCCGGCCCTTTCCCCTGCTTCTGCCCCAGTGGCGGGTCGCAGCAGGCCGCAGAGCAGGGCTGCGTTGATGCTCAGAGAACTCTAAACGCCCCACTCCAACGAGGGCCCGGGAGAGGCCCCGTGCACCGACTCAACACCGTTCACACTGTCAACTGCCGCGACGTAAATGAGGTGCCTTGACAGGTGCTCTGCTTGGAAATGGGGTGATAAGCAGCCGTGAAATACATGCGCGTGGTTCTCTTCCGCGGGCCTCCTGTACATCGGCCGAGGCGTCGGAGCTGGCTACGTCCCACTCCTCTTCCTACTTGTTGTTTTTTCTTCCTCGCATCCCCCGTCTCCTCCTCCGTCCTTCCTGTCATGCTTCAGCAGGCCACCTGAGGGGAGAGGGGGGGAGGAGGGGGGTATATGCTCTCCCTTTTGCCTGGTGACAGCTGGCAGGGAGATGTGGGCAGGCTCCCCTCTCAGCTGGAAGAAGGCGATATGGAAAAGGGTTTCCACAGCGTGGAACTCTGCCGGGGCTGATCTGTTGCAGGGAGCAACACGACAAACCGCTTTTAATCTTAAATCATCTGGTTTGTTTTCTTGATCCTACTTTCCAGTAGCTGCGAAGGGAAGATGATATTAACAGATGTGTACCGAAGGGAAGGGGTGCGTTAATTAAGGATGAATGCAGATGTGAACGGCAAATAAAATATAAAAAAACAAGGCGCTGAAAGCTTTGGTCCACACAAGGGTTTAAACTGCTGTCCTTAAAGACCAACATGCTACTTTTTGTTCTGAGCTAAGCTCAGAAATGTTGGAAGCTTTTACTCCGTTAGTTGATCTTGCTGAGGGGCACAGGGGTCACGACACCGCATACCTGTGTGGATAATGTGAATATTCACAGGGCGAGATGTGTCTTTTGAGGTCAGTGCTTTGAGTCGGCGAAGGTTTTACGACTTGAGTGGGACGTGCACACGCGGCGCAAAACACGGCCTTTACATGACTCTTGGCTTGCTTAACAGCCCCCAATGGAAAGAGCTCTTCTGTATGTGTGCGTGGAAAAAAACATGCTTTTTATTGGAAGGTTAAAGGCTTTTTCCTGGCTGGATTGTTGGGCATCCTTTAAATTCCAAAGGCATATTTATTTGCTTCTCTAATTACCTTTCCACAAACTCTAGCCCTGTGTTTTTGTTAAAAAAGCCAAGAGGAAGAGTAGATATTCAGTGAGACTATGAGCTGCCTAAAACAGAGTAGCTTTTCACACGTAGAACTGATGGAGTGACACTTTCATACGGCTGCCTGGGTCCTATTAAAGGAGATGTAAAACCTCACATGAACCACACACTGGCCTTGCGATACATTTCACCTTTTGAGTGACTGAGAAATTATGATTTTACTGCTTTTTTGTGGACCTCTGTTCACCTTCCCCATAATCACTAGACGTAATCCTGCTTCAACAATGATGACGATGGCAGCCCTTCAGCTGCTGAGTCTGGGGGGCAGAGGAAGGGGCTTGTTCACTTTTTACTGTCCATGCAAACCTCGTACCCCCGCCAATTCTGCCTTTATGAGGATCGATGAATGAAACTTCTCCTCCGCTGCTGAACGCGCATTTAAAAGCTCGCTGCGTCATTTAGAAAACAACTTTGTCTCTGTAGTCTGTTATTTATTAGTGAGCCAGTTTGATGAGGGCCTTTCTGTTTAAAGTCTGGCTGGCTTTGCCGCACAGCAGAGTAATTAATTAAATGGTTGAGACGGACGGCTGATACGGATTTGTACGTGTGTGGTTGTGTTTATTTGTGTGTCTCAATCGACTGTGCGTGTGTGTGTGTGTGTGTGTGTGTGTGCGTGTGCGTGTGCGTGCGTGTGCGTGTGGCTGAGAAAATGATTACACTTCATGGCCCTCACGAGAGCATTTGGGCCTAATTAACTCACTGCATCCGGCACTCAAGCACAGTTTTCCCTGACTCTGTGAGACGTGGCGCCGTGTGTCCTGTATATTTCCAGTCACCGAGGAACGCAGACAGACACCGGCCTGTAATAAAAGAAACACGATTGCTGCCCCGAAGACACGGAGCGTTGGGAGCCCTTTAACTTTTAAACATGCTGTACCCTGTGAGCGGTGGTGAGGACCTGAGGACCTCCGAGCGCGGTGATTCGCCCCAGGCCCGAAGATTGGAACAGACAGAAGACGTGCGCTTATATTTGTTGCTGCTCGCCTCATGCTCTTTGCGTTATCTTTACACGAGGGTTGGTTAAAAGCTGTGTTCTACTTTACGATATGCTTGCAGTTTAGACTTTATCGTCCACCAAGGGGAGATTCCATCTCCACAGCAGCACAGTAACAACGTTCAAAAGTCCAAAAGTCCAAACTCGGGGGATACAGCATGACCTTTTTTAGTGTTGTGTCTCTTTGCTCATCAATTAGTGCCATTATTAGACTAAGTCTATGTGATTATCAATGTGACACATCAATCATTTTTCATTAAAAAACTTTTTGGTTTAAAATGGCAAAAAAAGAGACCCACTTCTGTCTCCAAACACATCTGTGTACTTGTCATCGTAGGTAATCACAGAACACACCACCAGCCTGTTTCCATAGGCGCTATTTGATTGGGAAAAAATGAGCTGTGCATCTCAAACGCAACCAAATATGTGGTTGGCCAGTAAATAGGAGTGAGACGGTGTTTCCTTGGAAGCTGGACAGTCAGACTTTGGTGTACAATCCTCCAAGTAGTTAGCCTGCTCTGTCATTTCTACTAATTTAGTTTGCTGTTCTCTTCCCCTCTACAGGAAGTCGTGTTCTCTCCACCTTTACTCTTCGCCAGCTGTTGTGATTCCTGATCACTTCGGAGATGAGTGCCAAGTCAGCCATCAACAAGGAGGTGTTCACACCCCACGACGAGAAGATGCTCGTTGCTGTGCAGGTGAAGCGGAGGACCAAGAAGAAGATCCCCTTCCTGGCCACCGGTGGGCAGGGGGACTACATGACCTTCATCTGTGTCTCAGGTCAGAGGACAAAGGGAAAATCTCGTCTTATTGCTTTTCTATTGTATTTCGTGTTTAAGTGGCTTTCGTGTGTGTTTTCCTCCATGTGTGTGTGTGGCTTGTGTTGTCACATTTCAGCACGTCACCCTCGATTCTCCCACTAATGTTTATACTGATGAGTGTGCTTTTTTCCTTTGACAAAAGAACGACACGCTAAATCAATGTACTGCTGCGCCTTAGGTCAATCCATTTTAGATTAGATTTGTGCTTAAAGTGAATAATTATTTCACTACAAATTGAGCTTTTAATTATTGAGTTATTTCGCCTTATTTGAATTTTAACTGAGATATTGCTTGTTAATTGAATTCGCCGTGCATGGGATTCACAAGGAGGAGAATCATCGTCAGTTCAGAGGCAGCAGAACTGATTTTGAAGATCAAATGCATTTCTTAATCCTACTATCTTAATGTTAAACTGTGCTTTGACAGCAGCAGATTCTTTCACAGAAAGGTTCCAAGTTGCTTGATTGTCACTCGGAGGAGTATGTCGGCACAAAGGCCCGTACCAACTCTGTGCAGACTCAAATTCAAGGTCATCTTTTAGCAGCTACTCAACATTGACATTCTGTGTTCATCCTCTCGGGCTGAAATGAAAGGAGTTTATGTCAAGCGCAAGTCACCACTAACCACAGGGTTCTGAAAGCGCACACTTTTCCTTTTCCAAAGGGCTTTTAAAATGAGTCATTTCATCCCTTGATGTGGAAATGAGAGTTGCTTGGTATTCTCTTGTCACTCTGCCAGTTTCCTAACGTCACCCAGCAGCTCTCACCTTCGTGCCTCATTTGAGCTTTGCTGCTCTGAAATCCATCAAAGTCAGTCGGTTATCTGATCAACCTGTCTCCTTGATTTATTTTAAATGATCGAACATGACAATATATGGATTGATTTTGAGATTGATATTGAGTAGAAAGCTGAATCCACAATGTGACATGACTATTTGTTTAGTTTATGTTTTATTTTGTTTTTTGCCAACTCTTTCCTTTCTTGGCATCAGTCTGCTCTTCACTCTTTAATAACAGCAATACAATCTGAGAAAAAAATATAGATACTTATCTAGGATTGCCCATTCTTTGGAAGCCACACCTATAACCGCAACTTGTCTGAGTGGCTCATCACTGTGGGGATGCATGTGTGTGTGTCAGAGTACCCTGGAGAGGGAGAAGGGACGGAGTCAGGGTCAGTCTCAAATCCTCTGTGAAGCATTGAAGGGTGGCATTTTTAAACTGCCTTAAAGTTGCGTTCAGTAATCTGTGCCTCTTTCTGCTTGCAGCGCGAGAAGTTAGCTACAGACATTGGTCCAATCCCAATGTCCCCATAACGGTCCCTCAGGGACATAAATGGCTCTCCTGGTAAATGGTTGACTGAGGACTTGAAATGGTGCAGATACAAATGGGACAGTACTTTGTCGAAAATATAATTTACAATTGAGTTGGTTAATGGTTATTTGTTTCAGACTTTTCACTGATTTTAAACAGGCGTTTTGCTCATAAGATGAAATGTTCTATTACTGTTATTCATCAAAACAGCTTCAATGAAAACATTCAATATTTTATGCATATGTTTCTTTTTTCAATCTTTGATGTTTTAAATGTATACATTTGAATATGCAAATCAGCCAAAGACTCCGACCTTGCTGTCGGGATGTAGAGGCCTAATGTTGGACGGCGTGACTAAAGAGACTGTGGGCTGTGGATGTCTGACCCACTGGTACTTTTTATAAAACCCAGCTGAATAGGTGCATTTTCTGTTTTGGTCCTATAAAGGATGTAAGTGGGAGTCAAGGCTAACCTTTCTTTTCAAGAGAAAGAACCTCCATTACTCATTCAATGCCATGCTTGCTTTATCGGAGACATCAGACTATTCATCCTTCTGCTGAAGAGCCTTTGTTGATCCGCAATCACTTTTAAAGGATGAACATTTTTTCCCTTATTCTCCTTTTTCAATGACATGTTGCATTTGTGAATGGATGTTCCATGAATGTTTCCAAAACAAAATGCCATTAAGCATCATCCCGATGTCCATAGCTCACGTTCGTTACCCTTTTGGTAACAGTCCTCTGACTAAGAGCTGCTGTCGTGTGTCACACGTGGGAGCTCAGTAGTGAAAGCAAGCACTGTTGTGTAGCTCACTCACGTGGCATTTCTTTAATCCAGCCAAGCATTGTTCTCAGCTGTGTGTGTGAGTGTGTGAGTGTGTGTGTGTGTGTGTGTGTGTGTGTGTGTGTGTGTGTGTGTGTGTGTGTGTGTGTGTGTGTGTGTGTGTGTGTGTGTGTGTGTAAACACATGCCCGACCATGAGTGTGAAACCAGAGGGTTTCGCCTCCCAGCGTACTGGAGACACAAAGATGGCGTGCGTGACTTGTGAGTGCTCCGCATGTGCGTGAACTAAGTGTGCGCGTAAAGAGGTGGGGGAAGGTGGGGGAAGGTGGGGTCGCTGAGCGTCTCACGGCTACAGTAGCTAGAGCGCTTAGGAATGGCAGGTCGTACAGTGGCACAGTTACGTAACCCTGCGGCGTGTCACTCGGGGAAGTCCGCGGCGCGAGGAGCTGTACGGCAGAGACGGCTTCGGGCCTTTCTCTCTCAAGCAAGGGGCCCATTGTGAGACACGGGGCCGTCACTGCTGCTGCTGCAGGTCAAATAAACTGCTTTCTAAAGCATGTAGTATGGATGTAATGCGATGTAGCGCTGCCTCTTCCCTGTGGGTGAGTCATCAAGTCGCTTTTTGTGACTCGCACAGCTAACTGTTACTCTCAGTTGTAGAACAACACTATTTCTTCTAACAATAAACAGATTTGCATTGGAGGAGGCTTTTCATCCCTGAATCGGTTGTACCTGAGTAAACGCGCGGCTGCTACATTTATTTTTTAAATCTGACGTGGTTCAAACAGCAGTTTGCTATTGTGGTCTGGTGGGTTACAGTCAGATTGTGTCATGTGTTATCCCACTTATCTCTATCCTTGCATTAATCACAGGATTACATACGACAGTAGAATCCATCTCGTCAGGCCTCAGGTGATCAGCGTTGTGTGAGGCGCTGCTGGCGGCTGTGGGCGCGTGGAGGTGTGTCACAGAGAGGCGACTGCATCTTCCAAACAGACGTCCGTTGTATCCGTTCTAAAATCATTTTTCTGAATGTCTTCGCTTTTCTCCTGACTTGCTCCGGCCTCCAGTAACGGCCTCTCAGGGTTCCGTGTGAAATAACATTGTACAACCTGTAGAATCCAAAATCCAGATGGGCTTCACTTGCTGTGCGTAGGATGCAGGATTGTTATCAAGCGTTGTATAAGACAACATGTGTATGGTTCCTTATGTTGGACTGATCTGCAGTGCATCGTCACTTAATTGTCATAAGCCATTATGAGCCCAAAGCCCACTCGAGGTAAACTGCAACAACTGCTCATTGGTCACACAGCCTAAAAGCATTTAGACGATTTGCGTGTCGTTTATCGTATTTTGGTATTTAAGGAAATTGGACTTGTACCAAATGTAGAAAACCAACCTCCCTGTTCCTTGCTCTGTTTACTCTTGCTCTGCGATAACAACCCTGTACACGGAGCTGCTCAACTACACACAGAAACCTCTGTTAGCGCTAACAGGGGTCCTGATGACATAGGAGTGCTCTGGAGCGAAGCCAGACGCTCAACATGGACCAGGTCGGTTGGTGAGCGTTCCCTTTGATCACTCGGCTGCATGCCGTGCCTTTTATGGCTGCACCTCAGGGCCCGCAGAATGTTTGCCTGGAGAAATGTAAGGACAGACGAGCTTGATAAGTTCACTGTAGCCTGTTCCTCCTATTTGTTTATTTCATTTGTTTCTAATCCGAAAGGAAAACCTACTTGTTTCCCCCCTTTTCCCCTTCAGGCGATCCTCATGATTTTCCACACCTCTTTTCACCCTTGTTGTTTACATCTCTGCGTGCGTGTGTGTGTGTGTGTGTGTGTGTGTGTGTGTCTGCTGCAGGTTGCTGGCTCTAAGCGTTCTGCGCGTAATCTCATTGTAATGTATTTATATGAAACCCGAGAAGCAATATCTGGGTTTCTGATCATTTGTTTGCTGTTGTCTATGTTTCTGAAACCGGGATAAAATCATGTGTAGCACTTAACCGGGACACTCGATCATAACCAGGATACTTGTGAGGATTTAAATCAACCATTTTGCATAACATGCGTGGCAAGAAGTAGAATCTTTCTGAGGGAAGCGTGTGGGCATCAATGTTTTATCCATATATTCATGGCACTGTGCGTTTATGCAGTTATGCTATTTTGTGGGTTGGTTTACATGCGTAGGCTGTGTCTTTTGTACAGTGTGTCGTATGCTTGGTGTGTCATGCTGTTGTTGGTTCGTTTGCACCTCATTTTCTGGGGTTCGATGCAGTTATTTTCAATCTTTTGTGCTTGTTATTTTTGAAAAAATAAATTCAGTTGGTTGAAGGTTGAACAAACTCACGTATGTAGGTAATCACGAGATGCCTTGGGAATTATTTGCTTTGAAAAGCTTTGGCAAGGGAATGATGACCCCTGTATACAATCAACCAACACTTCCGTCTTGCGTCTATCGGCTTCTGTTCGTGGGACAAAGATCTGTCAGCGAAACCCATTCGGTAACGGAGCATTGTAGGGTTTAGACTGCACCGGTTCTTGAACCTCACTCTCTTCTTGGCTTCATTAATCAGCAGCTATTGATTACATGGTGAAATGGATGGGCAGGCCGGGCAGCTCTCTGGTATATGTGAGCTGCTTATAAAGTCAAATCAGTTATGACCTTGTTTACTCAATGCAAGAACACATCAGTCTGCATTTATTTATTCATGTAGGAATATTTTAGGTTGCGGTGTGTTTTGCCAAGGTTAGGCCACATTTATGTGTCCAGATGGAAAGAGAAATGATTGACCACAGATGAATAGAATGATTCAGGAGGAGTTATCACTGCAATTACTTTCAAATTCAGAGGATCCAACATATTTA